TCGGTGGTGGAGGCCATCAATGCGATGGCCAAGCGGATGCGCCAGCTCGAGGACGAGAACGCGCGGGTCAAGAAACGCCAACGCAAGACCCGACGCGCCCTGCACGAGCTCCGATCCCTGGTCCACGCCCACCTCGGCGCCACTCTCCCTCCTCCATCGCAAGACAGCGCTTCGCCCATCGCCGCCGCCGCCGCTCCTCCACCGGCCACAGTGGCCCAGCCGCAGCCGCCACCCCAGCCCCAGCCCCAGCCACAACCACAATCACCACCGCCACAGGCAGTCATTTGCAGTCCGGGGCCGGGATCGATGCAGATTAAGCGCGAGTGGTGCTTCCCATTCCTCAGGAGCTACGACATGCGCGGGAAGCCCTTCGTGGCGGACGACCTTCGGTGCGTGCAAGACAAGCCGTTGAGCCGTTGATCGACGGCTGACCAAGTTAAACTGATCGCCTCGCGGTGGTGGGTGGTTTGCCGACACAGGAAGCCGGTGCTGGTGACCTCCTTCAAGACGCGTCCCGTGTACGCCAACCCGCAAATGTGCCGCCTGGTGGGCTACTCGCAGGAGGAGATACTCGCCGACCGACTCGAGCTGGTGCTGACCACGCGCACCAAGTTCTCCTTCCAGCGCACCCTCCTCGGCGTCTGGTACGCCAACCCGCTCACTCCACCGGAAAGCGCTGACGTGGCGTCCAGGGAAAAGATGGGCGTGAGCGATGTACGACAGAGCGTGGTGGAGCTGTTGAGCCAGTCCGGCGATCTGATCATGGTGCAGGCGACAGGGCAGTTCTTCTACGGGCCTGATGGACATGTACGCACGAGCCACATTGCCTTCGCTAACCAAACAAAGCTAACTATGCGATACGCACGCGACACGCGACACGCAACAGCTCCGCTGCACGGTGCTCTGTGTGGAACGCGTGCTGGGAGTCACCCGCCCGCCCTGGACTCTGGGCGACGACCCGGTCGGCGAGGAGGAACACCAGCAGAGGTTGGAGCTGTACAGAGAGGCCATACGCCAGAGAGAGGAGCGCGAGTGGAAACGGGTCGAAGACAGCTACTATGATCCGTTCTTCCCCGCCGCCGCAGCCTCGCCGCCCGCCACTGCCGTCGTCGCTGGAGGAGACCACCAGCCGTTGCCGCAGGCGTGGGACAAGGAGTTCCTCCAATTCTTCGTCTAGTGCGTGTGCAGATTGTGTACATACTCAATAACGGGATCGCATTCGCTTTCGCTTTCGTTCTTTCTCTTCAAGGGTGGATCTTGCAGCCGGCGCACAGCTTTGGCGGGTGCGAGGAGGTGAAGATGTCCTTGCGCGGCTCGCCCGTGACGTTGAGGAAGCCCACGGCGCCCTTCTCCGTCCGCATGATGGAGTGGTCCACCAGGGTGTACACGCCAGGCACGAGCGGCGTGAACTCCACGATCGTGACGCCGCCGGCCGGGACAAGGGTGGTCTGTAGCGACTTGGCGGGCGGACTCTGCACGTCGCCCTCGCGATAGACGTGCTCCAGGATCATTCCGATGATGTGAAACGACGAGACCAGGTTAGGTCCGATGTTGCCTGTGGGCAGAAGAACGAATCAGGGAAAGAGCGAAAGGCGAAAGCGAAGGCGGGGAGGGGCCGCACCGAAATAGATGCGGACACGCTCTCCGGTGTTCACCTGATTGAACAGTTGGGGTCAGGGGAGGAGAGAGCGGTGATGGCTAACGGTGGTACGTACCTGCAGCATGTTGTCTGGCTCGGTGAGGGCGCCAACGCGGCCATTGAAGACCACATGCGTCGGCTGTTCCTTCATGGCGTCGTTCCAGGCCAGCTCGAGCTTCATCGGATCGTCGGGCGATTGCTCGGTGTAGAATTCGCTCTGGAGCTGAGTCAACCCAAACTTTCAGTCAAGGCAGAAGGCCGCGCCAAGTCGTACGACACGTCATCGGTTCTGGTCGTACCACAAAGAACTCCTTGTCCACCGGCGGCAGTCCCTCGGCCGGCTCCACGAGCATCATACCGTACATGCCGTTGGCGATGTGCATCCCCACGGGGTCGACCGCGCAGTGATAGATGAACAGTCCTGTGTAGGGAGGGGATCGGTCAGTCGCGGTCGGTGGGGTACGGGGGAGAATCCTACCGGGGTGCAGCAGCTTGAACCAGGCGTGCTTGGTCTCGCCCGCCCCCACGGTGAGTAGCGGAGCGCCGCCGCCCGGACCGACCACCGAATGGAAGTCCAGGTTGTGCAGCATACCTGACTCATCCTTGTTCGTCAGCTCCACCTAATCAAGAATGGAATTAGCACACGGCATACACGGCACACACGGCACACGGCACAGAACCCACGCGACACACGCGACAAAGAAACATGCGTTGGGGGCCGCGCCTCCATGGTGTCGCCAACGCGAGCGCGGATGAAGAGACCTGGCACGGTGCCGGAGAAGGTCCAGAAATCGTAGGACTGGGGTGGTTCGAGCTGGGCCTCGGTCACCTGCGAGTCCATCTTCACGCGCAGCAGGACCGGATCGCGGCGGGCGATGGGCGGCGGTACGTGGGGCGCCACGGTGAGCTCGGCCTCGACCACCGCTAGGCCCATGTCCTCCTTCTCCTGGCGCGTGCTCGTGTGGTGCGGGTGGTTGTACGGCGCCCACCTCTCACCGGACTGGTCTTGGCAGAGGGCAATCCGTTGCTGCTGTTGCTTCTGGCTGCGCCTCGAGCTTGCCTCCGGCTGCGGCTTGGTCTCACCCGGGCCTCTTGATGCCAACAGAGCGCCGGCTGCCGTGGCCACTACAGCCGCGGCCAGGGAGTAGCGAAGCCATGGCCGACCACTTGCCGCAGCGGTAGTGTCGCTGCTTCCATTACTGGTGGAATAAAACCGCCTACCGCCGAGCCAGCTAGTGGTGGTCCGAAACTCGCCCACTACTGCTCCCCCCACTCCTGCGGGTCAAGGTGCGGGCAAAGAAATACCTTTACCCAAAAGGGTTGCAAAGTGTTGCAAGGTACGCACCCCCATCGGCGGTCAATGAACGTAGGAAAGCGCTGCCAGAGCGTCGATGGAACATGTTACCTCGTGTGCGGGGGCGTGGTGGGTGTGTGGGTCGCTTTATATTGCCAAATGTTTCAGGCAAGTTATTTTGGTGTGGGCGAAAAGTCGAGCGCATCTGCCTGAACTTTCGCGCTTGGTTGAGGTGCCCGCAGTCGGTCGTGGCGAATGCCCGGCGCACGACACGACGCTCAGCTCTACCCAGTTGAGCCTATCCCGGAAGTGCAGGTCGCTCCCCATCGCATTCTGGTACAACTACGCGAGTGACCACAACCACCAGTGAGTGAAGGACGCAACCTTGGCCCGCCAGATACAGTGATTGGCAGTCTGCACCTCCAGTCGAAACGCGCTGGTCAGTGCTCCGGCACGGCTCCGCGCGACCGCTGCTGGCTGCTTTACAAGAACAGGCGAGCTTTCTTGAAGGTCGGGCAGCCTTGTGTGAGTAAGAAGCTGAGATTGGGAGGCAGTACTGTTACCTTACACAGCACGTGTATCATTATAGGGAAATGAGGGCGCCACCGTTGGACGCGTAGAAGAGCAACTCGCGAGCTACGCTCTCCAGACATGCGTCGGCCAGGTCCACCGGAGGCGGTGAAGGAGTTGCGCCGCGTCGCATGGTGGGTGGCCACACTTCTTCGGGGTGGTCGCTCACGTACTGCAGGGCCAGCTTGAACAGCGATGGCACTCCGCCCACGCGAGGCCGGCGCCCTACGCCCCCCCCCCCGGATTAGCGACGTATCGTGCATGTGTGGCGGTGGGCGAGTGGAGCGTACCAAAGTCGAGTACATGGACGTCGCCCAGGTACTGGAAATCGCCATCGGTGCCGCCAAAGACGAACAGTCGCGGCTGTGATCGACTGGTCTCCACCACCACAGCTGATGTGGG